GAATGTATTCCTGGAAATTTCATTAATATTATCTCATTGTTTTTATATCATATCATACACTACAACCTTTAAACTTCAATTTAACATACATATCATATCGTGATTCTCAAAAATATAGTAGATATGATTTTTTGAAAATTTCGTAATTTGTTTGGTTTACAAATTTGACAATTTTTTCTTTATCAATTTATTCCTGGGGATTTCATTAATATTACCTAATAGTTTTTATATCATATCATAAACTACAATATTTAAGCTTCAATTTAACATACATATCATATCGTGAATCTCAAAAATATAGCAGATATGATTTTTTGAAAATTTCTTAGTATTTTGATTTATAACTGACAATTTCTTCTTTAACAATATATTCCTGGAAATTACATTAATATTTTCACATAGTTTTTATATCATATCGTAAACTACAATCTTTAAGCTTCAATTTAACATACATATCATATCGTGATTCTCAAAAATATAGTAGATATGATTTTTTGAAAATTTCGTATCCTTTATAATTTATAAATTTAACAATTTCTTTATCAGCTTATTCCTGGAAATTTCATTTATATTACCTAATAGTTTTTATAGCATATCATAAATTGCAATCTTAAAGCTTCAATTTAACATACATATCATATCATTACCATCAAAAATAGAGATGATATGATTTTATGAAAATTTCGTATTCTTTATGATTTATAAATTTGACAATTTTTTCCTTAACAATTTATTCCTAGAAATTTCATTAATATCATCTCATATTTTTTATATCATATCATAAACTGCAATCTTTAAGCTTCAATTTAACATACAGATCATATCATGATTCTTAAAACTACAGATGATGTGATTTTTTAAAAATTCTGTATTCTTTATAATTTATAAATTTAACAATTTCTTCTTTATCAACTTATTCCTGGAAATTTCATTAATATTATCTCATAGTTTTTATATCATATCATACACTACAACCTTTAAGCTTCAATTTAACATACATATCATATCGTGATTCTCAAAAATATAGTAGATATGATTTTTTGAAAATTTCGCATTCTGTTTGATTTACAAATTTGACAATTTTTTCTTTATCCATTTATTCCTGGAAATTTCATTAATATTACCTAATAGTTTTTATATCATATCATAAACTACAATCTTTAAGCTTCAATTTAACATACATATCATATCGTGCTTCTCAAAAATATAGCAGATATGATTTTTTGAAAATTTCGTATTATTTTTGATTTATAATTGACAATTTCTTCTTTAAGAATTTATTATTGGAAATTTCATTAATATTATCTCATAGATTTTATATCATATCATACACTACAACCTTTAAGCTTCAATTTAACATACATATCATATCGTGATTCTCAAAAATATAGCAGATATGATTTTTTGAAAATTTCGTATCCTTTATAATTTACAAATTTAACAATTTCTTTATCAACTTATTCCTGGAAATTTCATTAATATTGCCTAATAGTTTTTATATCATATCATAAACTACAATCTTTAAGCTTCAATTTAACATACATATCATATCATGATTCTCAAAAATATTGCAGATATGATTTTTTGAAAATTTCCTATTCTTTATAATTTATAAATTTAATAATTTCTGCTTTATTAACTTATTCCTGGAAATATCATTAATATTACCTAACAGTTTTTATATCATATCATAATCTACAATCTTTAAGCTTCAATTTAACATACATATCATATCGTGCTTCTCAAAAATATAGCAGATATGATTTTTTGAAAATTTCGTATTATTTTTGATTTATAATTGACAATTTCTTCTTTAAGAATTTATTCCTGGAAATGTCATTAATATTATCTCATTGTTTTTATATCATATCATACACTACAACCTTTAAACTTCAATTTAACATACATATCATATCGTGATTCTCAAAAATATAGTAGATATGATTTTTTGAAAATTTCGCATTTTGTTTGATTTACAAATTTGACAATTTTTTCTTTATCAATTTATTCCTGGGAATTTCATTAATATTACCTAATAGTTTTTATATCATATCATAAACTACAATCTTTAAGCTTCAATTTAACATACATATCATATCGTGATTCTCAAAAATATGGCAAATATGATTTTTTGAAAATTTCGTATCCTTTATAATTTATAAATTTTACAATTTCTTCTTTATCAGCTTATTCCTGAAAATTTCATTAATATTACCTAACAGTTTTTATATTATATCACAAACTATAATCTTTAAGCTTCAATTTAACATACATATTATATCGTGATTCTCAAAAATATGGCAGATATGATTTTTTGAAAATTTCGTATCCTTTATAATTTACAAATTTAACAATTTCTTTATCAACTTATTCCTGGAAATTTCATTAATATTGCCTAATAGTTTTTATATCATATCATAAACTACAATCTTTAAGCTTCAATTTAACATACATATCATATCATGATTCTCAAAAATATTGCAGATATGATTTTTTGAAAATTTCCTATTCTTTATAATTTATAAATTTAATAATTTCTGCTTTATTAACTTATTCCTGGAAATATCATTAATATTACCTAACAGTTTTTATATCATATCATAATCTACAATCTTTAAGCTTCAATTTAACATACATATCATATCGTGCTTCTCAAAAATATAGCAGATATGATTTTTTGAAAATTTCGTATTATTTTTGATTTATAATTGACAATTTCTTCTTTAAGAATTTATTCCTGGAAATGTCATTAATATTATCTCATTGTTTTTATATCATATCATACACTACAACCTTTAAACTTCAATTTAACATACATATCATATCGTGATTCTCAAAAATATAGTAGATATGATTTTTTGAAAATTTCGCGTTTTGTTTGATTTACAAATTTGACAATTTTATCTTTATCAATTTATTCCTGGATATTTCATTAATATTGCCTAATCGTTTTTATATCATTTCGTAAACTACAATCTTTAAGTTTCAATTTAACATACATATCATATCATTATTCTTAAAAATACAGATGATGTGATTTTTTGAAAATTTTGTATTCTTTATAATTTATAAATTTAACAATTTTTTCTTTATCCATTTATTCCTGGAAATTTCATTAATATTACCTAATAGTTTTTATATAATATCATAAACTACAATCTTAAAGCTTCAATTTAACATACATATTATATCGTGCTTCTCAAAAATATAGCAGATATGATTTTTTGAAAATTTNACTTATTCCTGAAAATTTCATTAATATTACCTAACAGTTTTTATATTATATCACAAACTATAATCTTTAAGCTTCAATTTAACATACATATTATATCGTGATTCTCAAAAATATGGCAGATATGATTTTTTGAAAATTTCGTATCCTTTATAATTTATAAATTTAACAATTTCTTTATCAACCTATTCCTGGAAATTTCATTAATATCATCTCATATTTTTTATATCATATCATAAACTGCAATCTTTAAGCTTCAATTTAACATACAGATCATATCATGATTCTTAAAATTACAGATGATGTGATTTTTTGAAAATGTTGTATCCTTTATAATTTATAAATTTAACAATTTCTTCTTTATTAACTTATTCCTGGAAATTTCATTAATACTACCCAATAGTTCTTATATCATATCATAAAATACAATCTTTAAGCTTCCATTTAACATACATGTCATATCGTGATTCTCAAAAATATGGCAGATACGATTTTTTGAAAATTTCGTATCCTTTATACATAATTTATAAATTTAACAATTTCTTTATCAACTTATTCTTAGAAATATCATTAATATTACCTAATAGTTTTTATATTATATCATAAACTACAATCTTTAAGCTTCAATTTAACATACATATTATATCGTGATTCTCAAAAATATGGCAGATATGATTTTTTGAAAATTTCGTATCCTTTATAATTTACAAATTTAACAATTTCTTTATCAACTTATTTCTGGAAATTTCATTAATATTACCTAATAGTTTTTATATCATATCATAAACTACAATCTTAAAGCTTCAATTTAACATACATATCATATCGTGCTTCTCAAAAATATAGGAGATATGATTTTTTGAAAATTTCGTATTATTTTTGATTTATAATTGACAATTTTTTCTTTAAAAATTTATTCTTGGAAATTTCATTAATATTACCTAATAGTTTTTATATCATATCATAAACTACAATCTTTAAGCTTCAATTTAACACACATATCATATCGTGATTCTCAAAAATATAGCAGATATGATTTTTTGAAAATTTCGTATCCTTTATACATAACATATAAATTTAACAATTTCTTTATCAACTTATTCCTGGAAATATCATTAATATTACCTAATAGTTTTTATATCATATCATAAACTACAATCTTTAAGCTTCCATTTAACATACATATCATACTGTGCTTCTCTAAAATATAGCAGATATGATTTTTTGAGAATTTCGTATTATTTATGATTTATAATTGACAATTTCTTCTTTAACAATTTTTAAGCTTCAATTTAGCATACATATCATATCATGATTCTCAAAAATATAGTAGATATGATTTTTCATATCTACTATATTATATAAAATTCCATATCTTTTAATATAGATATGAAATTTCAATAATATTATCTCGTAGATTTTATATCATATCATAAACCACAATCTTTAAGCTTCAATTTAGCATACATATCATATCATGATTCACAAAAATACAGTAGATATGATTTTCTACAAATTTCTTTTATTCGTAAATTTAACAATTTTTCCTAGAAATATCAATAGTATTATTTTTTTGATTTATTATTCCATTAGTAGTGCATTTTTGGGAAGATTTATTGTAATAAAGTTTTTAATTTGAGACATGATGGTTGGAGTGAGAATGTTTAGAAGAAAGCTTAATAGGGATGTTTGTAATGATGGGCTTTCAGGGAAGCGAATTTCAGTAAGCCCGATCTTACTTCAAAATAACATTTAATGATATAATTACCTTAGCATATTCAGTATTAATGGGCTCCCCAGGATCCACCTCATACCCATCCCATTTCATCATATAAACATACCCATTAGAAGTCCCACAAATCGCCGTACAACTATGCGGTTTCGTCGGCCTTTTCCACACCGGCTTATAAGCAACCCTCTCGATCATCGAATCCGGTTGTTTCGGATCAGCTTTCTCATAATACAAAAGATGCGCCAAAATATCCGACGAAGCGATGGGAAACCCCCGATTTTTCTTCGAATTACTCACACTTATTTTATACAACGGCCTCCACACCCGATTCAAAAACTGAAAAGGCGAAGCATCCAAAGTTAGAGCACTCGGGCGTATTTTTAAACGTTTCGATTTTCTTTTTTGGTGCTCCCCAGCATGACCAGTAGGTTTGGCCAACATATCCCAAAAGAATAAGCTCCCATCGATTGAGCTGGTACTGAATTGCATGGTCATCGGTTCATCTTCGAGTAAATTTACGATTTTTCCAGTTCGAAATAATCTCCGAAACGGATTAATCCAGTTAATTCTCGTTACGTTGCGCGAATGCGAAACTGCCATGTCAGATTGAGCTGTGACTCTAACTAATTTTATATCGCGAGTATTTTGAAACCAATTCATTAAGGAGAACATTAAAACGCGATATTTTTGTTGCGCCTGAGTTAAAATTTCTTGCTCCTCGACGTGTTCCAATTTATTTTTGATATCCCACACGACAACTTGCCCATTTGACAAAGCTCCAACGATTATGTTGGGGTCAAAGGGACAAAAAGAGATGCAATCTGCCGGTCTTGGGCATTCCAATTCTAATTTGGGGTAAAGCCCATCGTTGAAGCACCACACCAAAATGGGATTTTTCCCATGGATTATGTTATTAACGGGATCTATCGTCCCGGGTCCTCGGAGGAACGTATTTGGGGCTTTATCTGCGTAAGAAATTGCAACGGTTCCGGTTAACATCGGGTGCCAACACGCTGAAGTTATCATTTTATTTCTGGCGTCTTTTAAATCGGCAAAAGACATGTATTCGTCCCAACTGACTCTTTCTGGAGTTTCTGCGAAAGCTTGGTCGGTTACTAAATCGCGATAATCGTTGGAATATAAATTAATATGGTCGTTAACGTTGATTTTATCGCATAAATCGTCTAATTCGTAATCGACGAAATCTCGAATGTTTTGGGTAAACTTTGCGGTTAAATTCGTGACAGGTTCGAATTCATAAAAGTATTGCGTCCAAGCATTCTTCGGATATGGACAATTAGTTTGTGCTTCTCGAGTTATAACATTCGGAGATCTTTGGACGATCGCATCAATTCGTGATTTAATCACATTTTGAATCGGCACTCGAGTTAAAAGCTCCATATAACCATCACGTGCCTTCTCAACCGGTCGAATACGAAACTTCACCTTTCTACTAATTATTGGATAAGTCGTTTCGACTTCGACTTCGTATAAATTTCGATTTGGAGTTTCGGTGTATTCGGCGATTTCGTCTTCGCTTCCGAATGATGGCCAAAAACCTTTTGGGACGACCTCTAAAGCTCGCGTTAATTTTGCTTCTTGGAATGCTTTGATTTTTGTGATGACGTTTGTGATTATTTCTTGCGCGTTTTTTGATAAGACCAAATAAAATTCGTCGTATTCCCTTATTTCGTCCGGGATGTACCCCATCAGGACCTCGGGGCTTTCGTATGGGATCACTTCGAGGCGGAATTCCATAAATTCGGAGTCTTCTATTAATTCGATGTGGTCCGCGATGACTTCTTTTTGGATTATTTTCCATGGTAATTCCGAGGTGACGTCTTCTCCGACCAACATGCCTATATCAGCTTGGGTTTTTTCGCTTAAAACGACTCGATGAACTCCGGGCATGTCAAATTTGAAACGTTTTAAAGATTCTAATGTTTCCTCTCTTGGTCTTCGACGATGGTGGTGATGGTGTTTTGCGGATGATGGTTTTTGTTTTTTCGATTTCTTTTTCTTCGGATCTTGGGATTGTTCGGTTTTGTTATCGGTTGACGACATGGTTAAAACTTAAAACACTTAAAACGATAATAATAATTAAAAGTTGCGGTTAAAATTGTTAAAATTCTTTTTTTGAGCGATTTCTTGTTTGACGTTTATAACTGAAGGTGTTATCGATCAAACTGTTTCCAAGTTACGATTATTTCGAATTGATTTTTGGGGACGATGAAATAATTCAGCTTAAATTTGACCGTTTTGAAAGTTTCAAAAAACTTAAAAATACCATTCTTATAAGCTATAGTTCTTACATTACTCAAAATTGATAGCAGAAATTCCGAAATTCGGATTATATTTGGTTTTAATTGATATTTTGAATACCTCAATATTTTACTACAACTTTCAAAAAATCATAACAAATCGAGATTTCAATAAATCATTATGAAACTATCAGCACTTATTCTACAAATTATGAGCTTTCCAATGAAAGAAACGGATTTTCAAAATATCTTTTAGTTTTTGAGATATTAATTATTTGACAGTTTCTCATCTTTGAGGTTAAACAACTATCTTCACTCATTTTCAAAAAATCATAACAAATCGGGACTATAATACATCATTATGAAACTATCAGCACTTATTCTACAAACTAAGAGCTTTCCAATGAAAGAAACGGATTTTCAAAATATCTTTTAGTTTTTAAGATATTAATTATTAGACAGTTTCTCATCTTTGGTTTAAGCAACTATTTTCACTCATTTTCAAAAAATCATAACAAATCGGGATTTCAAGAAATCATTATAAAACTATCAGCACTTATTCTACAAATTATGAGCTTTCCAATGAAAGTAACGGATTTTCAAAATATCTTTTAGTTTTTGAGATATTAATTATAACACAGTTTGTCATTTTTTGGGTTAAGCAACAATTTTCACTCATTTTCAAAAAATCACAACAAATCGGGATTTAAAGAAATCATTTTGAAACTATCAGCACTTATTCCACAAATTATGAGCTTTCCAATGAAAGTAACGGATTTTCAAAATATCTTTTAGTTTTTGAGATATTAATTATTAGACAGTTACGCATCTTTCGGGTTAAGCAATTATTTTCACTCATTTTCAAAAAATCATAACAAATCGAGATTTAAACAAATCATTTTGAAACTATCAGCACTTATTCTACAAATTATGAGCTTTCCAATGAAAGTAACGGATTTTCAAAATATCTTTTAGTTTTTGAGATATTAATTACTACACTGTTTCTCATTTTTTGGTTAACGCAACTATTTTCACTCATTTTCAAAAAAACATAACAAATCGGGATTTCAATGAATCATTATGAAACTATCAGCACTTATTGTACAAATTATGAGCTTTCCAATGAAAGAAACGGATTTTCAAAATATTTTTTAGTTTTTGAGATATTAAATTTTAAACAGTTACTCCTCTTTCGGGTTAAGCAACTATTTTCACTCATTTTCAAAAAATCATAACAAATCAGGATTTAAACAAATCATTTTGAAACTATCAGCACTTATTCTACAAATTATGAGCTTTCCAATGATAGAAACGGATTTTCAAAATATTTTTTAGTTTTTGAGATATTAATTATTATTCAGTTTCTCACTTTTTGGGTTAAGCAACAATTTTCACTCATTTTCAAAAAATCATAACAAATCGGGATTTCAATACATCATTATGAAACTATCACCACTCATTCTACAAATTATGAGCTTTCCAATGAAAGAAACAGATTTTCAAAATATCTTTTAATTTTTGAATTATTAAGTTTTAAACAATAACTCATCTTTCGGGTTAACAAATTATTTTCACTCATTTTCAAAAAATCATAACAAATCGGAATATCAATAAATCATTATGAAACTATTAGTACTTATTCTACAAATTATGAGTTTTCCAACGAAAGAAACGGATTTTCAAAATATCTTTTAGTTTTTGAGATATTAATTATTTGACAGTTTGTCATTTTTTGGGTTAAGCAACAATTTTCACTCATTTTCAAAAAATCATAACAAATCGGGATTTAAACAAATCATTTTGAAACTATCAGCACTTATTTTACAAATTATGAGCTTTCCAATGACAGAAACGGATTTTCAAAATATTTTTTATGACCACTGCTAATTGTACATAAAATTACTCTCTACAAGATAGCGTGGCCAGATTTTGTTGCACTCATTTCCTAAAAACGGTTTTGACACCCTCAAACGAAAAAAATTCTCCACAAGTAAACGCAAATGTGCTCTGCGTATTTGACTACTGCTAATTTTATTGTTCATAAAGTTACCCTCTACAAGATAGCGAGGCCAAATTTTGTTGCACTCATTTCCTAAAGCCGGTTTTAGTCACACCCAAACTTAAAAAATTCGCCACAAGTAAACGCAAATGTGCTCCGCTGATCTGACTACTTAAAATTGTATCTGAAATTATTTTAATTTTGATTACTTTAAATATGAGGACATGGACCTCTTTCACAAATGTGATAGAGATTTTAAAATGGACCTGGAACTGTTCGAAATTAAGAAACACTGACAATGAATTGTTTAATTACCAAACAAATCATGTCATAATAAACTTATTATCGTTGTGCGCTGTCTCGCATCTATCCATCGGCATCGTAAACTTTTATCTTGTTTCAGTGGTATGTTTTACATTATTTCGGTTTTTATTTTTTGTGCTTTATTTTATTAGCTAATTTTGTCTCTATTGACAAATTACAGCTATTCCTTGGATATTATTTGTTTCATACTCGTATATTAGGTTTTACTTTACTTACTTAACTTCTGCACCAATCACGTGTTTTCTTGATTGACGGGAAAACCGTCTTTAGGAAATGAGTGCAACAAAATCTGGCCACGCTATCTTATAGAGAATAATTTTAGATACAATTAGCAGTAATCAGATACGCGAAGCACTTTTGCGTTTACTTGTGGCGAATTTTTTTCGTTTGGGGGTGGTAAAACCGTCTTTAGGAAATGAGTGCAACAAAATCTGGCTACGCTATCTTGTAGAGGGTAATTTTATGTACAATTAGCAGTGGTCAAATAAGCGGAGCACTTTTGCGTTTACTTGTGGCGAATTGTTTTCGTTTAGGGATGGCTAAAATCGTCTTTAGGAAATGAGAGCAACAAGATGTGGCCACGCTATCTTATAAAGAATAATTTTAGATACAATTAGCAGTAGTCAGATACGCGGAGCACATTCGCATTTACTTGTGGCGAATTTTTTTCTTTAGGGGGTGGCTAAAAGCGTCCTTAGGAAATAACTACAAGAAAATCTGGGCAAGCTATCTCATAGGGAGTAATTATAGGTATATTTTACAGTCATCAGATCCGCGGAGTACAATCTCGTTTACACGTGAGGATTTTTTTTTCTTGGGGGTGACTAAAAGTGTCTTTAGGAAATGACCGCAACAAAATCTGACCACTCTATTTCATAAGGGGTAGCTTTAGATACACTTTACAGTAGTCAGATTCGCGGAGCACATTCTCGTTTACTTGGGGTTATACTTTTTATTTTACCTAAAAATGATCGTGTAAAACCGACTTTAGCCTATACTCGGATGTCTTCGGTAAAAGGGTTGCTATGTTTGGCGTGCTGTTTTCACATCGGTTAATTATTCCACATATTATGAGTTTTCCAATGAAAGAAACAGATTTTCAAAATATTTTTTGGTTTTTGAGATATTAAGTTTTAAACAGTTACTCGTATTTCAAGTTAAGCAATTATTTTCACTCATTTTCAAAAAATCATAACAAATCGGAATTTCAATAAATCATTATGAAACTATCAGCACTTATTCTACAAATTATGAGCTTTTCAATGAAAGAAACGGATTTTCAAAATATCTTTTAGTTTTTGAGATATTAATTACTTGACAGTTTCTCATCTTTGAGGTTAAACAACTATCTTCACTCATTTTCAAAAAATCACAACAAATCGGGATTTAAACAAATCATTATGAAACTATCAGCACTTATTCTACAAATTATGAGCTTTCCAATGAAAGAAACGGATTTTCAAAATATCTTTTAGTTTTTGAGGTATTAATTATTAGACAGTTTCTCATTTTTTGGGTTAAGCAACTATTTTCACTCATTTTCAAAAAATCATAACAAATCGGGATTTCAATAAATCATTATGAAACTATCAGCACTTATTCTACAAATTATGAGCTTTCCAATGAAAGAAACGGATTTTCAAAATATCTTTTAGTTTTTGAGGTATTAATTATTAGACAGTTTCTCATTTTTTGGGTTAAGCAACTATTTTCACTCATTTTCAAAAAATCATAACAAATCGGGATTTCAATAAATCATTATGAAACTATCAGCACTTATTCTACAAATTATGAGCTTTCCAATGAAAGAAACGGATTTTCAAAATATCTTTTAGTTTTTGAGGTATTAATTATTAGACAGTTTCTCATTTTTTGGGTTAAGCAACTATTTTCACTCATTTTCAAAAAATCATAACAAATCGGGATTTCAATAAATCATTATGAAACTATCAGCACTTATTCTACAAATTATGAGCTTTCCAATGAAAGAAACGGATTTTCAAAATATCTTTTAGTTTTTGAGGTATTAATTATTAGACAGTTTCTCATTTTTTGGGTTAAGCAACTATTTTCACTCATTTTCAAAAAATCATAACAAATCGGGATTTCAATAAATCATTATGAAACTATCAGCACTTATTCTACAAATTATGAGCTTTCCAATGAAAGAAACGGATTTTCAAAATATCTTTTAGTTTTTGAGATATTAATTATTAGACAGTTTCTCATTTTTTGGGTTAAGCAACTATTTTCACTCATTTTCAAAAAATCATAACAAATCGGGATTTCAATAAATCATTATGAAACTATCAGCACTTATTCTACAAATTATGAGCTTTCCAATGAAAGTAACGGATTTTCAAAATATCTTTTAGTTTTTGAGATATTAATTATTAGACAGTTACTCATTTTTCGGGTTAAGCAATTATTTTCACTCATTTTCAAAAAATCATAACAAATCGGGATTTCAATACATCATTATGAAACTATCAGCATTTATTCTACAAATTATGAGCTATCCAATGAAAGAAACGGATTTTCAAAATATCTTTTAGTTTTTGAGATATT